GGCTGCGGCTCCGCGGCTGCAGGAGGGATGCTGAAGTCGGGGGCGGGCTGCTGCTGCTGCTGCTCCATCTCGGTGCAGATTCCCACGATCTCCGTGATCATGTTCAGGATCGCGTCGGCGGTGCTGCTCAGCCCCGCGGCCGTGGGCTCCGGCTCGGCGAAGAAGCTTCCGGTGTAGCCAAGCGATGGAGAGAGAGTGTCCGAGGAGCAGTCGCTGAAGTCGGAGAAGAAGTCTGAGTCCGAGGCGTCAGTTCCCGGAGAGAAAACTGCAGAAAGGGAGGGGGGAGGTTATTATTGCATAATGACAGAAACATTATGAAGATGCAGCTGCAGGTTGCAGGTTGCTGGCTGCAGGGCATGCAGCGGATGCTGGAGACTCACCTTGACTGAACGGTGATCCCACGTCAGAGTCCGCGCCGTCGCTGGGACTGGATCCCACGCTGTCCACCCAGGCGCTGCAAGCGTCCTCAAACTCAGACATGAAGCTGTCGCCGCGCTCCAGAAGCATCCTTTTCTCAGGTTTGATGATTAAATCCGGGATTCCCCCTAAGAAGCGAGGCGTTAATCCGTTTAAGCTGCTGATGCTGCCGGGCTGAGAGGCTGAGAGGCTGAGGATGCTGAGGATGCTGAGGATGCTGAGGATGCTGAGGATGCTGAGCGCTCTCCGGCTCTGCCTTTTATACTCTCCGTCTCCAAGGTAACTCCCGTCCTGCCTTTGGTCGACACCGGCGCGAGGGATTCCCCCCGCCGTGCCACTTTCGTAGCTGACCAAATTTGGGCTGCTTCCGGCTGTGACGGCGGGTATCCCCCATGCCTTAAAAGGACAGGCGGCAGAGCGACGTGGAGGAGCGGAGAGGGGTTTTCTTCACTGCGGCAGAGAGAGGTTATACAACCGCGAGAGGACAGGAAACACGGGAGGGAGACGCAGATCGCGGGTTTTGGCGCATTTCATGGGACTTCAGAGACCAAATGTGTTTCATCTGTTGAGTTGGAGATGCTCACACCGAGCAGACAGACGAGGCTGGATTTCAAAGCACAAACAGCTGATATATCACTGAAAATGTCAACTCGACGTCAGTTTTTGCCGTCGCTTATGGCGCCCCCTCCAGTGCGGCGCCCGCTGAGCGCCTGTCACAACTTTTTGGTTCAGCACTGCAGACGCATCTCTGGCCCAGATGTGACATTCCTGCACAGCCATGCAGCTGCTGGGATGTGGTCGCCATGGAGACGGATGGAGGATCCAGGCCTTGTTACATAAAAGGAGCTGGATCATCAGAACCTGCAGAACTCCTGGTTCTGTTGGATCATCCTCTGAGATTCACATGGTTCTCATCCCCCCATAAACCTAAACAAGCAGAAGTGTTACATAACAGGGAAGGCCACGTGTTCCCCTAAAAAATATATTTTTATTTCAATAAAACTAAATTTAAACCCTTAAATTGGTCAGATGGAACTTTTCAATCTTGTGCATCATTTAATACATAATAATATGTGAATATTAAGATATGTTGTCGATCAGTTGTAAATGTGGGCGCTGGGCCACAGAGGGCGCCAGATCGATGGCAGAAAATTATTTCTAGTTTCCATTTTCTGTATTTAAAGCCGTTTCAGAACTTATTCTGTAAACGTATTTTCATCTCGTCTTCTTTAAGTATTTCAGACACAACAAAAGTCACATCAAATGAGCGCAAAGCTTTAATTTTATTTTACCGTTTCAACTTCTAAAGCAAAACTTCAGAATGACATGCTAATGGAAAGATTGGATCAAAGCAAACCGAGGTGCTATAATGGCGTAGTCAAAGTCTAGGGAGAGATTTAACTGATGTTCCCTGGTGCTTTGCATTAAATCGAACTGAACATGTTTTGGAAAGAAGAGAAAAAACGTTCAGCTGATTGGTGGAGACCAACCAGCTGCATCTGCAGAGAAAGAGTTACATACAAATTCCCTCCACACTTTTCAGAAAATGTTTAAATGGTGTCTGATTTTCTTTCTGATCCACTTTCCTGCTTCGCTTTGTGCTGATTGATCTCATAAAACCTCAATATGTCCAGGCAGCGGTCAGCGATACAATCACAATAATGATCCAAACTTTTTAGGTCACGGTTTGGCTACGACTGTGTCACAGCATTTATTGTCCCCCAAACACAAACACTGTTTCAAAAAGATTCCTGTTCATAATAATCTTCTTTAGCACAATAATCACATAAAAAGTGATTTAAATCCACTACATTTAATCATATTTTGAAATTATTGATGCTTTCTGTGACCAAACAGTGGAGAAAATAGTGAAACTGAAAGACAATTAATTAGGAATGAATCATCATTAATATATAATCAATGTTATCAGGATAAATGTTAAACTTCAGGGTTTTATAGTGTAAAAACTTCTGGCAGATTTTTAAGATAAAACTTTGGATCAGATCTTCATTTTGACCAGAGGTGTCCAAACTATGGTCCAGGGCCATTTGTGGCCATAAAATGATTTTGTTTGGCTCCCAAAAACAAAATGCAACAAATTACTAAAAAAATGAGAAATTCTTTGTTTTTCTTTTAATAAGATGAAAGTCTGAAACCCTTCTATGCTTCAGATCTTTAATGACAAGCAGATTTCATTTTAAAATCTTTATTGTTGAGGAAGAAAAGTTAAAAAATAAACAAAACATAATAAACATTTTTGCATTTTTTTAGTAAATTTTGTGGCTCAGCCGTTCAAACTTTCCAGTTTTTGACCGATTTGAGCTTTAATGTGTCACTTTTCCAGGATTATTTAACTAAAGCGACAGATCGCCTGCTGGGATTATGCTGAAACATGAAGCAGAGCTTCAGCATCAGAGCTTCAGCATCAGAGCTTCAGCATCAGAGCTTCAGCATCAGAACTTCATCATCAGAGCTTCAGCATCAGAGCTTCATCATTAGAACTTCAGCATCAGAGCTTCAGCATCAGAGCTTCAGCATCAGAGCTTCATCATTAGAACTTCAGCATCAGAGCTTCAGCATCAGAGCTTCAGCATCAGAGCTTCAGCATCAGAGCTTCAGCATCAGAACTTCAGCATCAGAGCTTCAGCATCAGAGCTTCATCATCAGAACTTCAGCATCAGAGCTTCAGCATCAGAGCTTCAGCATCAGAGCTTCAGCATCAGAGCTTCAGCATCAGAGCTTCAGCGTCAGAGCTTCAGCATCAGAGCTTCAGCGTCAGAGCTTCAGCATCAGAGCTTCAGCATCAGAGCTTCAGCATCAGAGCTTCAGCGTCAGAGCTTCAGCATCAGAGCTTCAGCGTCAGAGCTTCAGCGTCAGAGCTTCAGCATCAGAGCTTCAGCATCAGAGCTTCAGCATCAGAACTTCAGCATCAGAGCTTCATCATCAGAACTTCAGCGTCAGAGCTTCAGCATCAGAGTTTCAGCATCAGAGCTTCAGCATCAGAGCTTCAGCATCAGAGCTTCAGCATCAGAGCTTCATCATCAGAGCTTCAGCATCAGAGCTTCAGCATCAGAGCTTCATCATCAGAGCTTCAGCATCAGAGCTTCATCATCAGAGCTTCATCATCAGAACTTCAGCGTCAGACGCGTCGCGTGTTTCACCTCCAGGTAGATGTTTTTAGCCGAGACGTTGAAGCAGCACCTGTTGTCAGTTTCTCTGCTGCCTGAAAGAGACGCACCAGAACCGCTCTGCTCGCCTCGCCTCGCCGTGACAACGCGCTATATCAGGACAGATGATGGAAATGTGTGTGTGGGCGCTGTTGCCATGGCGGCGTGCCTCCGCCGGCTGCACACACAGCGCCACCGAGACGCTGCAGCGTTCGGGCTCTAGTGGCGTCAGCTGCGGCGCTGATTCACGTTTCTTAAAGTCAATGGATCAGTTCAGACGTCAAGATGGCCGCCATCAGGGAAACGGCAGCAGGAGAGAGAGCAAATGTTCAGGCTGGTCTATATTTAGCTTCGACTCAAACAAGCAGAACTCAGCCAGAAAACCCAAAATATCAGCTTCACAAAGTCTGAAATGATTCAACAGGAATCATAACTGAGAAATATAACAACACAAACTGAGCAGGAAACTAGGAACTATGAACGCACCGATCCGCCTTTACCACTACTGACACCGATATCTGAGGATCGGACAGAACCGATATAGAAAACACAGTTGACCTGATTTCAAACTGCTTCTTTTCTTAACCTGAAACATAAATGCACCGAATTACCAATTTATTGAATCACTGCATCAGTGCAACACAATCAATTACAAGCTGTTGGTTAAACACGTAAAACTTTGATTGATCCATTTGCTAACATTCTGGTCCTGGTCGGGTCAGGAGGGGCTGCTGCCTCTCTGGCCAACGACAGGCGGGGTCACCTGGAGGTCATCAGTCTGAAGCAGAAAATTAGGAGAACAACAACAAATTTAAAATAATAATCTGTCAAAAACAAAACGTTGATTATCTTCATCAGCGTACAAAAACCTTTCAGATATTTTAGAAAGTTAAATCAGGAATCCTGAACATAAAGTAAATAATGAATCATGACATAAAGCATAGAGTTAGACTGAATAGATCTGCACTTATAGAGCATTTTCACTGATGCCCAGTCTAGAATATAGAACAGACCCGAGTCCTGAACCAGAACCACAGAAGAGAACGACCCATTCAACTGACTCACGGGTCAGAACGGTTCTAATGTAAACCATTTTATGTCTCCAGACTAAAATGGGTCAAAACCGTCCAGAAAGAACCAATAAACCCGACCAGAACCAGTCCAGGACTAACTGGGTCAAACCGGGTCTGAGGCAGGAAGGAAAACCTGGTGAGTCGACAGACGGAGCGGTCTCCTTTAAGGTTTCCATGGCAACCTGTGGCATTCAGCCTGATAACACCAAGGCCACCTGATGAAGGAACACACACACACACACACACACACACACACACACACACACACACACACACACACACACACACACACACACACACACACTCAGTCATGGTCAACCATCTGTCATAACAACATGCAGGCGTGACCTCTGACCTCTCCAAGGTTCCTCCCTGTCTAGTTAAAGTCAGGGTTCTTCGTCGCCGCCTCATTCTCCTCTTCCTCGCTGCAGCCATGTTGTCCGCTCTGCTGTCCTCCGCTCCCCAGCTCTGCTCCTCTCCCTCCTCATCATCGTGGTTCTGCTGGTTCTGTTCTCCTGTCGGGTCGGTCAGGAAGCCAAACGTCAGAACTCATCCGGCCCGGTTCGGGGGCCCGGCCCGGTTCGGGGGCCCGGCCCGGTTCCGGGTCCCGTCCCCTGCCTGCCTCGCCTCCCGGTCCTGGGCAGCCTCCCTGGCTGGGCGGAGGCCTTCCTCCTCACCTGCTCTTCACCCAGCTGACCTACAGGTGAGTCTGAGACGACGGGTCGGTTAGTCACTGGTTAACTGGACTAACTGGTTAATTATCATAGTTTGAGATACGAGTTAATTTTCATAAACATGTTGAAATGTATAAAAATGAGTTAATCATTAACATAACTGGACCAATTACTGTGTACATATTGACGAGTTAACTTTTATTGACTCTGTTCAAGATAATTCCACAACTAGACTACTAGTTATCTTTGGGTTGGTAGATTTCCTTAACCAGCCTTCAGGACTAGTGGTTTGTTAAACTCTTTTTGAGATTTTTGCTGAAAATGACGAGTTAAGACTTGAACCTGAACTTAATCATGTTTAATTAATATTTGTAAAGACTAGTTAGCCTCTTAAAGCAAAGATTGATGCGGATTTGTTTGTGGCTGATGAGATTCTCAGGAAGAAAAGTGTAATCCTGGGCGGTTTGATGACCTTTGACCCTGTGCTTGTCTCCGAGGTATGGGCCTCTGTTTGCGCTCTACCTCGGCCCTCACTACACGCTGGTGGTGAACAGCCATCAACACGCCAGAGAGGTGCTGCTGCAGAGGGGCAAGGACTTCGCTGGACGTCCTGACATGGTCAGAAACACCGAAATGTTTCCCTGCTGGAACCGCGCAGCCGCGCCTCAGACACGTTTATTTGGAAATGCTTTGATTTTACTGGATATTTAAACAGATTTAGGTTTTAAACTCTGAAGAAAATAATTGTAAGCAGGACTATAGTTATTGTTCCCAGTGGAGTGAATCAGTTGTTTCATTTCTTCTTTTTCGTCACTGTAACATTGTCCTGCAGCGCCCCCTGGCCTTTTCCAGAGCAAAACATCATTAATGATGAAAGAATATTGTGAACTCAAGATGCTAACAGCTAGCATTCAGTGCTAACATTGACAGAAGATGCTACTGTTAGCAAAACAACGGCGGGGTCAGGAGGTCATAAATGATGCTTTGTGTTCATGTTTCCCACAGACAGAATGATCTGATGCTAGCAGTAATGTTACCAGCTAAGCTAATGTTACCAGGCATTTTGAAGCGGTTCTGTTGGACTGAATTAAGATTTAGTCAGTGACCGAATATTTGGACTTATCCAATTTTAGCTTTAGCACTCTTAAACCTGGACTGCAAAATTGTTGCAAGAAACAAAAATGGCGGATTAGTGAAACTGGTTTACCGGAAGTCATTGATCAGAAATAGATTAACACATAATTGTAAAAAATCTAAACCAGATTAAAGCAAATGAAACTGTTCAGCTCTCCAGCTGGAAGAGCTAATCCAGCTGTTTTATGTTGGACTGGGTCTTTCTGCTCAGGTCACCACCAACCTGCTGACCCGCGGAGGAAAAGACATCGCCTTCTCAGACTACTCTCCTCTGTGGAGGTTTCACCGCCGCCTCGTCCACAACTCCTTCACCCTGTTTGGGGAGGGAACCAGCCGGCTGCAGGACATCGGTACCGACCAGATCCACCGCGGTTCTGATCCAATGATAGAAAAACAAGCTTCAGGAGTCACAGCGGCTGATTTGACCCATTACTGCTCTGGACAGTCTGTGGGAAAATAACCCAAAATACTGAATATCTCTTATAAAAATTAATCCTAGTTAAGATACATGTGAGCAGGAAAACTATTTAAAACCTGAATTAAACAACCTACAGAAGAGCCTGCTTCACAACAGAATGAGCTGTATTTCAACAGCTTTGATTTCAATCCCAATGAACCAGCAGGGGGCGCCAACAATCCAAATTCAGAAATTTTGAGATTATTTACATACATTTTCTAGAAAAATTATGAAAATTTCTGAGATCCAAAAGTTGAACATTTTTCACTTCTGAAACTCAAAAAGTCTAAGATGTTTGACGATCTGAACTCAGAACATTTCAAAGTTTATTTTAGAGAATCCGTTTAAAATATTTTGTATTTTCTTCTTGCAAATTTTAGACTTTCTCAGAAATCTGAGATTAATCTCAAAATATGAGTTTTTTGGTGGAAATGTACACCTTGTATTTACATGCTGTACATTCAAGCAGCGTCGATTTTCATCCAGAACTCTAGAAACATTTAGAAAAAAGAAAACCTTTAAAGTTAGTAACTTTCCAGGATATTTTTCATGTTTTATCCATAAACATTTGAACTCCAGCAGCGACTGTAACATAAACGTCTGTGCAGTTCTGTCTGCGGTGGACGACCTCTGCGTGGAGCTGCTGTCCCAGGGTCCGCGCGGCTTCGACCCGTCTGCCGCCATCACCAGGGCCGTCACCAACGTGGTCTGCACCCTGGTGTTCAGCAGCTCCTACGGCCCCGGAGACCGCGAGCTGCACGAGGTGATCGGCTACAACAACGGCATCGTGGAGACGATCGCCAGCGGCGGGCTGGTGGACATCTACCCCTGGATGAAGGTACGACTGGGGAGCCAGAGGGAAAGCAAAACTATCGAATAATATGACGCAATCATAGAAACAAAAAGTAAGAAAAAAGGAGTAAAAATTGTAGAAATTTTGAAGTGAATCTCAGAAATGTTCTAAAAATAGAAACAGTAAATTAAAATCCATAAACAGCAGCTGATTGATGCATTGGGTCTAAATGAAACTTCAGCTGAATTTTAAACGTTTATTAGAAATGTTCCTCCATTAAATCTCTGAACCCTCTTCCTGTCCTCCAGGTGTTTCCTAACAGATCTCTCAGTAAACTGAAGGAGTGCATCACCGTCAGGGATCGACTGCTGACCCGGAAACTGGAGGAGCACAAGGTGAAAACTTTAAAAAGCACCAGAGACCAACAGCTCCCCCTGCAGGCCGCAGCGCTTATTACAGCGCTGAGCTCTTCACTTTTCCTGTCCGGTGGGTTTGCAGGCGGCGCTGGGTGACGGTGACCCCCGTGACCTCCTGGAGGCCTTGCTGAAGGGTCAGACGGGCAGTGGGCGGGGTCAGAGGTCACATGGGTCAGCAGAAGAGGGAATAACAGACGACCACGTCCTGATGACGGCAGCGGAGGCGTTTGGAGCCGGAGTGGAGACGACGTCCACGACTCTGCTGTGGATCCTGGCCTACCTGCTGCACCACCCAGAGGTCAGAGGGCAACAAACAACATTTCTGTGGCTTTGTCTTTGTTCCACCAATCAGAGCGCAGATGTAAGCAAACAATAACCTACAGTACTGATCGTTAAAATCTCAAACTCAGTTGCTCCTCATGTTGGAAGAGCAAAAAGGAAAGAGAAATTTTATGTCTTTCATTCTCAAATTACATGAAAAAACAACTTAAAGTAAATGAACCACAATGACAGAAAGATCATTTTCATCCAATCAGCTTCTTCCCTGGATGAAAAAAGAACCAATCACAAGCCACAGGTCAAAATACTCCAGGAAATGACAGAAATGACCAAACAAAAAACTGCAGGATTTCAGAAAAAACACAAGAAAATGTGATACACTTGAATTGAATTATGTAGCCTAACAATATGTGGTTAAAGAGGAGCGATGATCCAAAGTTCACATTTTGGACATTTTTGTTTTTCCTTTTTCATTTCTCCAGCCAACCAGAGTGCTTAACGAACCAGAGTGCTTAACGAACACCCAGACATTTTTTTGGTAATAACTTCAATGATTTTTGGTGCCATTTCAAACATTGTTAAGTCACATTCAGGCTCTACCCTGTTACCTAGCAACCCAAGCTGTGCTCCAACACCTCTGGTCAGCTGGTCTTCCTGCTGGCCAGGCTGCGCTACATAATGGCTGCTGGAAGAGACACGTGTTTCTGTGTTTATTTACCATCCAGGAACCACTTTCTGCATTCTTGTTGGCTGTGCAGGAGGCTCCACCTCTGCTTTTCAAAGATGTATGGTGGTGTAATTGTGCATCTTTATGCAGACATTTACACATGCAACAATGAATGCGTACAGAATTTTCACATGTAAATGCAGACAGCAGGTATGCTGTAAGGTTGTGAAGCTGTGCTGAGGTAAAAATGTATTGAACATGTTTAAATCCATCCTAAGCTGTCGAGGACAGGGAAGCAGCTCAGCTGGTGGATTTCAGGTGGCTGGAACCATTTCTGGCCGTTCCCAGTCGACCAGTGTCGGTTAGAAACCGGTTCCCAGTCGACCAGTGTCAGTTAGAAACCGGTGATGACCCGGACGTCCTTCAGGTCTGGGTTGGTACTGTCGGGTCTTCATGGCAGGTCCAGGAGCGCGTGCAGAGGGAGCTGGATGAGAACGTGGGCGGTGATCGCGCGGTGACCGTGTCGGACCGCGGCCTGCTGCCCTACCTGGACTGCGTCATCAACGAGGGCATGAGGATCCGACCGGTCAGCCCGGTTCTGATCCCACACACCGCCATGACAGACAGCAGGTAGGTCGATCACACGGCGCAACGCTGAAAAGCTCAGAGTTTCCTGAAAACCCGTTTTCTCTCTCAGCATTGGCGGTCACGCCGTGCGCCGCGGGACTCGGGTTTTGGTCAACATGTGGTCCATTCACCACGACCCCCGGTTCTGGGACAAACCGGACCTGTTCAACCCAGGTGACTCAGGAAAACCCAACAGATCTACCAAAACAAACCCAACAGAAACACCATTCACACCTTTTCCTCTCCTTCTAACGTAGGTCGTTTCCTTGACGACAAAGGTCAGCGCACCACACCCACCTGCTTCCTGCCGTTTGGGGCGGGACCTCGGGTCTGCGTCGGCGAATCGCTGGCCAGGCTGGAGCTTTTCCTCTTCCTGTCCTCTCTGCTCCAGCGAATGAGCTTCAGGCTGCCAGACGGGGTTTCCCCGCCCAACTTGCAGGGGCGTCTGGGTGTGGTCTTACAGCCGCTGCCTTATAAGGTGGCAGTCAGTCCACGCCCAGGCTGGGAGGGCGGGGCTAAATGACAAGGGGCGGAGCCTACAGCCACAACAATAAAACTACTTCCTATTTACCCTTTACTGAATATATGAAAAATAAATATATTATCTCATTGATATATATATATATTGATGATCTAAAATGTCATGTTTTCATTTGCTATATTACAACAGAAAACCATCATAATCAACAAATAGATTTACTGAAATAAACATTTCAATTATATTCTAATTTATCATTTATTAAATTACAGCCTGCATGTGATTTTACCATAAACAGTCATCCCCTTCAAAATAAGAGCATGAGTATAAATCTCTAGCTACTTCACTAATTTTTTTCACCCAAAATTTTTCAAACAGTCGAGTAAATGAACATTTTAGAACGCATCTTATTATTTATTTAGGGGAAGCTAAATGTGTGAATCGTTTCCAAATTTAGCACTAAATTAAAAATAAGCTTTGTTATAAATAAGGTACTTTAGTTTTTCATCAAAATGTTTCAGCATTAAACTTACAGACAGAAAAGTTTTAGATTCAACAGTTTTATTATATTTCCACACGTTTAGAACAGGCTGGTTTAGTTATGTCACACACACACATACAAACATCCACACACACACACACACACCAACTATTACTGCTAATAATACTAGTTAGTGCTCTTGTCATTTGAATATTACAGGATTTAATCTTTTTAAATCTTCTCCCACAGACTCAGCTGACAGAAACGCCAGTGAGGAAATGAAGGTGGAAAAAGACAAATTAGTTAAAATCCTGTAAAGAGGGAAGAAACTGGCCAGTTATAATCCTGGTCAACTAAAAGATCCAAAAAAGTTTGTCTGGTTCTGGATTTTAAGGTCAAGAAACTGGTCTAGTCAAATCAAACCAGTCTCTAAACCGACCAAAATTAATATTTAATCCAAAACTGTATTATAAGTGTTTATTTCTTCAGTTTCTCATCCAGTTTGGGGGCTGATGTTTTCCATTTACGGAACAAAAATTAGATTTCTGCTGTGGCAGAATAACAGGAAACAGGCATTGCACAGCACCAGTCAGGTGTTACTATATTTAGCCTTGAATTCAAGAAAAAAATATCTACATTTTCAGTGAAAATCCAGTCAACGTGGAAATAGTAACATATTTCAGTGACATAATTCAGTAGAAATAAGTAATTTAGACTAACAGACATAAAGACAAGGTTTCCAAAGCAGGAAGTCCTGGAATCAGCTTTAATCAGTCACTTTCCCCTAAAAACGCTCAAAACCAAGACAGAAAAGACAAAGACTGACTTTCTCCAATTACGAGTCGTAACTGATGCCAATGGTTCTGGTTGTTTCCATCCGTTTCTGTTAAAGATCGACGCTCTAAAGCGTTTCTAATCCAAACCCAATCAGCTGATCTCAGGTCTGCTCAGCCTTTGAGAACCTAAATTACAGACAAAGTTCAAACGAGTCCCAAGTCACTCAGCTATAAAGCCCACAGTCACACAGAGCAAGAACAGCTCGAAATAATGCTAAGTAGTAACAGTAGTCAAGTATAAATGGCACTCGGAAACCAATGAAATATATAACATTAGAAGTTCAGGTAAACAAAAAACACCGTCAACCACAACATCAACTACAACATCAACAGCTGGGCGTCGCTCTAGAAGCCTCGAAGAACTCGCCGCTCTCACGCCGCCGCGCCGACTTTCAACCAGAAGCGTCTTCCTCCAGGACCAGATATCTGGATCTGTGGGATCGCGAACCGTTTCTGTGGCAGGACTTTGTGCCTTTAATGGAGTCCCACTAGCTTATCGCTCATCATGTATCGGTGGCTCTGTTGAGTTATCCATGGATCAATGCAGCATGAACACAGGGTCTAAAGGTCAATCAACCGGACTGAGTCTCTCCGTTCACTACAGTTGGGTGGATGAATCCATGAGGTGATGAGAACCTTCACTTTCCCTCAAACACAGGACCTTTTAGCTTTACTGCTGGAGGAAACGTCTAATGTTTCATCAAACTGCTGACATCACTGATCTTTCTCTCACAACTAAAGACTTTTTAAATTTGCTCCTACATCGATGGACATTTCAGAAACAGGAATGAACTGCTTACAGGCTGGTGAATGGCAACAACCATTGATGATGGACGCAGAACCAGTGAAGTCAGGGTAGTTGTGGGCCCTGTGGCACATTGAGGTGTTCCCACTGGGCCCTCTGTGGCCGGTCGAGACGGACACCAGTCCCTCATGACCTTGTAAAGATGGGTGGATGCGTCGCTTGCTTGATTATATCAACACAAGTCTTGACCAGGTGTTGGACTGGGAACCTGCTTCAAGTGTCTCTTGTCTGTTAACCTCAAGAGACGGATACCAACGCCCCACAGTAGGATGGAGCATTTTTCCTTTCCTCAGTTGAACAAAAACGCATCTAAAAACTTTTTATCAGCCTCATTTGTAAACTTTTTGCACCAAGGTAAGAAGTGCCAACTTTGCTGAAAAGTTACCAGTTGGGAGTTACCAGTAAAGTCAGGGGATCTGTTGACCCTGTGGCGGACTGGAGAAGCCCTGACCCCCACACTGACCGGTAGAGACAGACACTCGGCTCTCATGCCCTTTACGGATGATAAATGGATGCATCACTTCCTAATAGATTGGATTGTATCAACATTTCTTAACACTGTGTTGGACTGGGAACCTGCTTCAGATGCGTCTCATCGTCTGACTGTAGGAGACGGAGACCAACCGCCTTCAACTCGAAGAAACGTTTCCCTTTCAGAGTTGGTCAAAAATGTTTCATCAGCTAAACATCAGTCTGAGGCTCAACAGCAAACTTTTCCATCCCAACGTTTCTGATGCTGGTTTTCACTTTTCTCTGGGTTTATTTACTCTTACAGAATAAAAATATTGCTCTTCATCTCTTCCTACGGTGAGCTGAAACACTGCAGCATGTACAAAACAACTACTAACTGCTTCATTGATAAAATATACTCCGTCTCTATGTGTCACAAAATATGTACACTGGCTTGTCTATCAAGTTCACAATGTACGAAACACCAACCTAAAAGTAAACCAAACGCTTTAAACACGTTTGCCGTGACTGATTCTTTTAGAAGGCCTTGAAATATCCACTTGCTCTGCAATTTGTTTTGTATTATTGTTCAAATCTGCTAAATTTAAGGATGTAGGAGGGGCGATTCTGAATGAAGAGATCCAGAAAGTGACAGAGATCGAGGCGACTACGGCGCATTGTTTGATCTGACCTCACACTCCGAGAAAGAGACAAAGACGGGACGATGACACGATCCGCCTCTGCTCTCTTTGGGGCTTTGTTTCGCTCTAAAAGCAGCCATTGTTTGTTTACATTCATGTAGGAGCTTTTCTCTGCTGAGATGTCGACGCAACACAAGCCGAGCCGTCCACCTTCAAGTTTTCCACTCGCAAACTGCAAACCTGACTGCTCTGCTGACAGACCCGCCATCAAACCCAATGAATCAGGCTCCCCTCCGTCAATCAGGCGCTGTGAATCATCCACCTACACCGGTCCCTTTTTCAGAGCAAGCCAACTTGTTCCCGGCACATTTCCAAACCTCCGTCATCATCCAAGACGGCGGCGATGGAAGGTATCGCCGCCTTCTGAACGCTCGACTGTTGAAAGATGCTCATTTATGGGCAAAAGACAGAAAGCGTCATTGCCTGGAAGGCCACAATTTCAGCCTGACACGTGTGCAGCTTTTATGCCGTATTTGCGTCACATTATTTCCTCCCTTGTGTGCAAATTTGTGTAGTTTGGATCGATGCTAACCATTTTTGACTGTTAAGAGGATTATTAAAATTTGTTGATGCGAGTCAACAAAGACTGGGTTACAGTGTGATTTAATACGTGTTAAAGAGTGTGCAGGACATGGAGATCTCTTAGGAAGGACGATGAAGTTTCAGCTTCATCATCCTGAAATGAAACAGACGCCTCTAAATCTGGTGAACGTGGCACCAAAGCCCATAAAATGACTTCCAAACCAAATCTTCTCGTAACACCGGTGCCTTCATCGTCAACCACAACGCTCCAGAAGCATCTTCTCAGTTTTGATGGCTGCCTGGCGTACTCCAGGTCAGAGGGGGAACCGAACCATCGACTTTCATCGGTTACACTTTCTCCATGACGATAATGACTTTCTCTTCAGGGGTCGACGTGGTGACGGAGGTGGAGGGGTTGCACAGCGTAAGTTCGTCCCCTGTGCTCAACCGACTTCTTGCAGGACAATCCACGCTGTCGTGCATGTCCGTGTCTCCGTCTTTCTCCTCTTCCTCTTCTGCATCCTCGTCCTCCTCCTCGACTCGACATCTGCACACCTCAATGCCGGAGTCACCGGTGAGACGGCGGTGCCGGTACTGGCTCTCGTCCGCTCCCATGTCGTCGTCTTCGTCCTCCTCTCTGTCCCAGCGGCCTGCTCCTCGTCTCCGTCCTCCCAGCACGCCGGTCCGGGTTCGAAGACGTCTACGCACGGCGAGAAGACGGTCTGTTTCGGTGGAGACTGAGTAGCGCGGGGTGACGGGGAGAGGGAGGACGCATGGCCGGAGGAGGAACCGGCTCTGTCGGACGGGTGGAGAGCGGTGAGGGGGTCCAAGAGTAATGCTGGTGCCACAAGAGGAGATCGGGGTGAGGATGGAGAAAGAACCGCAAGGGGCGACGGAGAGGACATGAAACAAGTTTCAGACTCAATCGTGATTGCTGGACAAGAAGAAGAGCTGTCTGCAGGAACCGGAACCAGGGTTGGTGATCCTGACCCAGAGCTAAGACTTGCCTGAACATCTGAAGGCAATGGTGCGAGAAGGTTTGACTCACATGAACCACGCAGTTCTGGACTCAGTCCAGAACCGTTCACAGTCAAAACTAGATTAGAGTGTTGGGAAGGCCCTGACCCAGGACTCGAGGGAATCTGAGCCAAACCCGACCCGGGAGATGGTTCTAACTTCTGAGTCGATGGAGAGGAAACGGTTTGCGCAATCGAACCGGGGCTGAGATTCAAATGTGTTGGTTTTGGAGTCAGAGGGGCGGCAATAATGGCTGAAGTACAATCAGACAGCAGTGGTTCTTGGTCCCTGGTCGGGTTTGGAGACGCTATAGTTTGGGTCGGGGTTTCAGGTGCATCGGCTGGCACAACGCTAACATCCTGATCAGGAGTCAGGAGGCTGGCAGAGTCCGTTTTCAAGGCCATAGTTCTGTGAACGTCTGGAGCTGATGGGGTCGAAGCGGCACCGGGCGGATCAAAAGTTGTCGTCTGAGAATCCAGAGTCTCCAGAGCTTCGACCGGCCCGCAGCAGTCAGACGGGTCAGCTGTTGGCGTGGGAGGCCCTGACAGACTTCCTGTTCTCGTGACCTCAGTGGAGGGCAGCTGGACGGCATCGAGCCTCGGACTGGGGAGAGGACTGGAGCTGCTGAACACCGGAGAACACGGAGGAGGCGTGTGAGCTTTCCAGGAGACAAAGCTGCAGCGGTGAGGACGACCTCCGAGCCAGGTGAGGGCTGAGACGGCGGCGCCACGTAACAGTCTGGCGAGGGAGGGAGGAGTCTGTGGCGTCTTCGCCGCCCTCGATGTCGACGGCCACCGCTGGCCTCTCAGAGGCGAAGCGGCCCTCGCTGGCCGCCAGGCAGCTGGCTGCAGCCGCTATGGTCTCCATGGTGACATCAAGGGTGAGGGGCGTGGCCTCGCTTGGCGTGGAGGCGTGGCTTGTGTCGGTCTCGTAGGTGATGGGCGCTGAGAGCGAAGAGCTACATGGAGAAGAGGGGCAGCAGGAGTCGCAGGAACAGCTGGAGCTGCAGAAAGGTCAAAGGTCAAACATCTGACAATCAGCTCAGCAGTT